GGATTATGACAATGTGAACAGTAAAGAGAATCAGAAGGATCGGGGAACAACAAAGTGGAGTGGAGTTTGTTCTAGAGCTGGAGGTTAACCAAAATGAGGTGGTGATGGCGGGAGCTGGAGTGACAGCCCCAGCCCAGTCAATCAACACTCAAGCAAGGTACGGATACCCGGTAAGGCAAAGCGAGCCCAGGCGAACCGAGTCTATAGCGATCCAATGGTTCAAGAGATACGAGTACTTGCTGAGGATAATTACAGCGTCTGTCTGTATTAATCAGGGCACGTTCTGTGATGAACAATGACGACAGCGGTGGTGTGGGCGGCAGTGGAGAAAACAAAGCCTATTGACACAGCGGGAGAGAGAGACAACCAGGAAGAGAAGAGACAAGAGGAGGTGATGCAGAAGCTGATCGAGGCACGGCGATGGAATCGAGGAGCTGCACCAACGGGGGGGTTCTAGGGGGTTTGACGTGCCAAAATACCACCACTGAAGTGAGAATTACTTGCACAACAAGATCGAGTCAACGATGAAGCAATCAGAGCGATTATTTTTGTAATTGTGTATCACCGACCCGACCGAGGCACGATTCCCTAAAGAGGAATTGGCGATAGGTTCAATATGAATTTGGGGTTACAGGTCAGTATCTAGGTATGCTCTGCCAGGTGTTGAGTCACTGAATGTGACAGTGTCCAGCTGCATCTGATGCGTTGATCTGGCTGTTGTCTAAAAACCCTCATAGTAATCACGGCAAAATCCAAGTGCGTGCGTGCGTGCGAATACAGCTCCATCCAAATCAAGGCACACGCGAACACGATGTTCACTCAGATTCCGCGTCAGACTCGTTTCTCACTCTATTTTTTCAGGTCCCAAGTCTCGTGCCCCTGTCCCGTTGGCCCCCGTCCCATGTGGGTCTGACTCAACGCTAAACTCTACAGCGTTAACCCAGCTTTGGGTTCCCATCAGCCCATCCCCAGTCACCGGCAGCGGGGATAGATTCCGGAGATCGCTTCGAGATGATATGTCTGTCATTTTGTGTAGGGTAGGGGAGAGGAATGCACATACATAGTAGGCGTTGTAACCACACTATTTTGTATCACGATAATACGCTTGTTGTATTGATCTGCTGATGTAAAAAAGACTTTAGCACAGCACTTACTTGAGTTTCTCTGACAACAACTGACGGTGAGACAAGCGTTGTAAGGCTGAAGTTATTTAGCCGGCTTACTCTCAGCCTTGAAGATCCCGTCAAAGTACACCAATAGCCAATAGATGTCTCGAATCACGAGCATTACACCTTGGAGTGATATTTTCAGCGAACACAAAAATCACATATATGCAAATAATTATTATGGAATCCATTTATTCGTACTCAAGGCTTAAACAGCCAGACCTAAAGAAAAAGAAAATCTATCTGTAAACATTTCCACATCTTCGTGAACGCTTCCGGGCCTCTCTACTGAGGCCATGCCCATGCGTCCTGTAGCGTCGTCCGTCGTGGCCGTCTCATTCCATCATAAGGTATCAAGTATCCTGATGGTCTAGCCACCCGCGCCGCCGCCGCTTTAAACCCATGAAAATACCCACATGATTGCCAATGGCAATCTCATCAACTTTTTGTGGATTGAATATCCTCTCCTATGGGGCAAGAAAGCACCGAACCTTGGTTTAGGGTGCCAAAATAAACTTAGTGAAGAGTCCCCTAAGTTTAGGCTATATTTACCTAAGCATTTTTATCGCTTAGGGTCAAGGTCCTGAGTTTTCTTTGCTCCCTAGCCTCTATAGTCAATTTCCTTTCATGTATTCGTGCCAGATAAAATCAAAATTCGTAAACTTTTCCGCCTTAGCATTAGACTGCTCCGGCGCTGATCATCTTCTTTCGGAGGTAGTTCTTGTACTCGGAGATGGAACCGTCCCATGTACGGATAGTCTGGTTCTCGCAGACGAGAATCTGCTTGGCAATCTTGTCGAGCAATCTATTATCGTTAGCTATCATTCATCACAATTGGACTTGGACTGATGGTGCTTACCGGAAATCGTGAGAAACCACGATAACACCTCCGCTGAAGGCGTTGATGGCATCTGCCAAACTGTCGATGGTAGGAATATCCAGACCATTAGTAGGCTCGTCAAGAAGCAACATGTTGGGGCTCTCAATGGCCAGCAGAGCAAACACGATACGACTCTTCTGACCCTCAGACAGAGTACCCATCAGGGCAGTCTGGGAGTCGCCGCTGAGACCGTATTTGCCGAGCTGCTGACGCCAGTACTGGTAATCCTGTGACTTCTCAGCGTACTTGTCGCGAACGAAGTCGAGAGCAGACTTCGTCAAGTCAAGCTGCTCAGAACTGTGCTGAGAGTAGAGACCGAGCTTCAAGTGAGTGTGTCGGGTAACAACACCACCGGTGGGAGAAAGCTTGCCAGTCATGAGGCGGAGCAGAGTAGACTTGCCCACACCGTTGGGGCCGACAAGGGCAGTTCGGGAGTCCATATCGAAACCAAGGTCGAGGTTGCGGTACAGATCATCCTCAGGCTTACCAGAGTAAGAGAAGGTGACGTTATCGAATGACAGGACGGGAGGAGGGAGCTTATCAACATCGGCGAAACGGAAAGTGAAGACACGGTCCTGCTCGACAGGCTGGATGAAACCATCGGCCTCCATCTTGTCGAGAATCTTCTGTCGGGACTTGGCCTGTCGGACCAAGTTGGCGTAGGTACCAGCGCTAGCAATGAACTTCTTGATGTGGACAATTTCATCCTGCTGCTTCTGGTAGGCCTTCATCTGGTTGGTCTCGTTCTCGGTTCGAGTCTTGCTGTAAGAGTCGTAGTTACCACCATAGTAGATGAGCTGCTTGCCTCGCATGTCAATCATGTTGGAGCAGACACCGTTGAGGAAATCCATAGAGTGGGATACAAGGACAAGAGTTCGCTCCCACTTCTTGAGATACTCCTCGAGCCACACACAGGCCTCCAAATCCAAATGGGCAGTGGGGTCATCGAGAAGGAGAACGGAGGGCTTGACGAACAGGGCCTTGGCAAGGGCGACACGCATACGCCAACCACCAGACATGTCCTTGGTCTTCTTGTGGATAGTCTTCTTGTTGAAACCGAGACCAGTCAGGATAAGGGAAGCACGGGTAGCGAATGTTGAGGGATCAAGCTTGTCCATGTGCTGGAAAATGTTAGTTTGGTACATTGACATTATTGTACATTAACTCACCTCGTAAAGATCAAGGAGAACAGGGCTCTCAGGGCCCTCGTCCTCGAGAAGCTTCTCAGCCTGGTGGTCGAGACGCTCCAGCTCCAGCTCAGCCTCTCGGACAACCCACTCAAGGGCACCGAGGTCACTGGGAGGAGCACCCTCGTTGAGAAGGTAGAGATCGAGATGCTCAGGAATGGGGTACTCGCGGGCGGCGATGGCCTTGAGGAAAGTAGACTTTCCGCAACCGTTCTCGCCGAGAAGACCGTATCGTCGACCGTAGGTGAGCTCTAGAGTGGAATCGGTGATAAGGACTCGACCGTGGAAGACGAGAGAAGTACTGGTGATCTTGACGTCCTTGCTGGTCTGGGTAGAGGCGAGGACACCGGTGGTGACACGGTCGGAGATACCGTGCTTGTCCATCTGCTCAGCGAGACGCTTCACCTCGTCGAGCTTTGCGCCTGAAGTTGCGGGGGCATCATCGTCCTTGATGGGGTTGCCGTGGGCGTCAAGCTCAGGCTCCTCAGTCTTCTTGCCCTTCTTGCCCTTGAGCTTGCCCTCGGCAGCCTTCTTGGCAAGACGCTTCTCCTTGGATGAAGAGGGGGCCATGATGAAGATGTGTGTAGGAAAGGGAAAAAAAGGACCGCGGGGTTGAAAGAACGGAAACTGTCGGCGGGGTGAGGATGTCCGTCTGAGAAATCAAGTCCAAACCGGGGTATATGAGTTGGTTTGGAAAATGACCGTTCGATGAAGAGGGAGGAAGAAGTGAGTGAGAGAGATGGAAAAGTTGAGTTGACCTGACCGACAAAGAAAAACCAGCCAAGCAAATAACAATGAGTGTGGCGGTTCCAGTCAGTTCCCGGTTCAACCTCTACAGTGGTTGTGCCCAGGAAGGCGGGGTGAATTTTTTAATTTGGTGGGGCAGATTTACAGATTTTTTGACTGACGACAGAGTCAGGCACCAACTAAGGCATCAAGGTGTATTATTTCCGGTAAGCTGCGATTGTAATGAGTCCAATTTATAGAATATTCTTGATAACTAAGGTGGTACGCAAGGGAACCAACTTGCGCAGACTCTATTCTCAACTTGTTCTGCGCTTTTTGCGGTAAATTGCTGTTATCTTTCTCTATCAAACCCCAAATTTTAATTTTTTTTCTGACCTGACGTCATCAATCCGCCCAATATGATTGGCTGTTGAGTTTCAGGATTTTCACACTGCCCGCCATCTTCATCTCGTGCAGGCAACCTTGAAGGACGGCGAATCCGTGGCTTTGCATACAAACTCATAATTCTCGATTGGATGTATTGACTCGGACTTACCGGTTGAGTTACTGAAAACCTACGGTCAACTTTGCCTCCTTGCGGCAACTCACCATTATCTGAGGCGTTATCACCTGAAGATGAGACTGCCGCCTGTTACGCCTGGAAATAGCCGTTGGCTCAATCCTCGTGCTCGTGTATCAGGCATTTACACTGTCTGCAGTAGAGCTTATAACTGATCATGATGAACTGAAGCTGATGCTCGCCTCGTTCGATGTAATGCTGCTCACTTTTGATGCCACATGTAGGGAAATGGCCTGATAGCCAAGCGACTACGTCCAAGTCTGCGAAGTTTGGGATATCCTCGACATAATGCCTCTCCAATCATGGCCATGTCATATAGAATGAGTTCCTATTCATAAACCATTACTTGGCGTCTTTTGATAATTAACTCAATTGCGTCACAGACATAGGCTATTCTTAGTTTCATAAAGTCATTTCATCATTGAACAGCCGCTATAGTACAGATATTATGATCTCCCAAATTAAGAGGAGGCCTTGTTGTTAAGAGCATCGAAAGGAGTCTTGCCCTCAAGCTCACTCTGCTTAGGACCAGCATCCCTACCAACGGCATTTTGGTTCTGTTGGAACTGTTGCTCAGCCAGTCGGCTAGGGTCGTCCTGGCTACCAGGCTCGGACTCTAAAGCCTTCTTAAGGCCATCCTTAGTGTTAGAATAGTCAATGCCCTCCTTCAAGTTCTTGCCATGAGGACCAGATTCCTTGATATACTGGTTGTCGACATAGCTGGGAGCGGTGCCGGCCAGAGACTTGGGAGCAGAGTCACTGGACTTTGATGCAGTTCCGGAAGACTTGGAAGCAGAGCTAGAGGACTTGGCCTTGGAGTCAGAGCCGGAGCTGGGAGTGGAAGAGGTATCGGTGTTGCGGCCAGCGCTGGTATTCTCGGATCTGGAGGTGGGCTGGTTCTCGCCGTGGATGCCCTCGTTGGAGGCGAACTCGCCGCCCTCCTTCAAGGACTCGGCAGCAAGAGACTCATTGGGGACTGTACCAGCACCCTCCTGCTTTACGGGAGCGTTCTGGCCGAGATCGACCTGATCTGTTAGTTCTGATATGACACGACATCATTTTTGCTAACGCTTACCTTTTGACCGTGGGTGGGGTTCTTGGTAGACATGATGTATGATGTGTTGATGGATAGATGAATTCGTTTACTTTGGTTTGATTGATTAGGGTGGCAGAATATGCTTGATATGGATGCCAAAGGTCCTTGAGCTCTATGATATATACAGAGTCTAGGCTCCATGACATCATGTGTGGTGTTTCTTCACTAACGCCTCTAAGTCTAAACATGACGCCAAATTACATCATGAAAGGCCCTAGCCACGAGGATTTGGCCTGTAAAACAAGCAAAAGAATATAAACAAGGACTTTTTGTTCGATAAGCGAATAGGTTGGAAAGTTCCACGACAAAGCTTCCCCATAGACATCGAGATCTGAGCTGTATGTGCTCGAGCCTCACCATGTTGGGTGTAAGACAGCTGATGCATCGCGACATCACACACACCATGAGTGACGTTAAAATGGTCGGTAGAAGAGCAGAAGCTTTAGATTTATACAATCCCATCCTTACTGGTATTTTAATTTTATGACAGCGGCATGACGGTGTAGGTTGAACTTGATGTGTCTGCCAGCCTAAAAGAGCATCTTGTCAGACGACATCAACAACACCAAGTCTTCCATGCAAGATGCCAGGAACCCTGCCTGTCTTTGAGATCTGAGCTGGAGCTCCGGAGCTTTTACGCCTGGTTTCATTATTCCCCGGTTCTTGGGAGGCTACATTGGCCACTCATGCATGTCTGTGCAATGCTGAACGTGGAGAATGGCCTTGGCATGATGAACTCCAAGCTTCACTTTACTCCCATGAACTGAACGCGCTCGCTTCCCGTACACCCAAAAGAAATCCAATAAAGTATAGTTTGTGTTGCAAATAGTCCCGAAGTGTGTTCTAATCCTGAAATGAAGTCCCGAGAACTGAAACGCCGCCCGATGTCATAAAACTGGCTTATTCATTCGCGTATATCGCTTGCGACATGCATGTGGGGATGGTATCAGACTGTGATACTTCGGTTTCGACAGGCGAAGTGCGATACCTTGCTTTTGTGCTTATCGGTTTGTGCAGTAACATCTCTTGATAGAGAATTATTCTTAAACTACGCAATTGAGAATAGATAATTGCTCTCTTTTGCAAGCTAGCCGCACAACCTTGGTATAAGTGCGACCAGGCACCGATGTGATGATGATATAGAATAGACTTGATGTAGCATTTCAAGAGCACGAGAACACATTGAGACAGTGTTAACCTTCCTCTATTCATCTGATCTACCGCAACATGAGATTATAAGGTAGATTCACCATCCATCATCATGTAGGTATAACCTGCGCTACGAAGAGACGACTAAATTGTCACCAACCCTCGACGAAAAGCGGATGTTGACGATCTAATAACAAATAATTGTCTGTGAGTTGACATGATCACCTAAGAGGTGGACTTCGCATGATTGTCGTGGCTCTCTCACTCGGTTCTGCCTATTATGACTTTCATCTGTCTTGAGAGAACAACACTTGAGAGAACAACCAAGAGTACTAGGCCTTCTTCAGCAAAATGGCAGAAACATGTATTTACAGTGTATCAGTGTAAGTTCTAAAATTGCACAATATTTCATGTGCAATTGAAGGCGCATCCATCGCGATATCATGTGATAGGAGTCGAGTGACACCTTGTTCGAACATGGCAAGTAGTGAGAGGCTTCACGCGAGGTTGCCAGTTTCGGAATGATTAGTGGGTGAATAAAATGTATGGTGCATCGCATTAGGTCATTTCACTACCTTATGGAGGAACACTCAACAGCTGGGTACCTGAGCCATTGTCAATGATGGAACATCTCAGCCTCACACTCTTATCATCTGACACAAGACTTGAGTGAAATGGGTAATGATACTATGTAAGTCCCTTGCGGAAATAGATAACATGTCTTGATAGCGGGAAGTCTGCAGTAAATACATCTATCAAGGTTCGTTCTCATATATGACAAACTTAACGATCGTTACCAGGATCTGACGGTGCCAAGACGCGTGTAAGAGCGTGTAAGAGCAGAGTTATTCCTCACGTTCTTAAGGCTGAGTCTGCAGGAAATCACACGAAAAGAAGGGGAAGTTCATTTGCTCAGAAGCATGATCTATTTCCTTGTCTATCTTGCTACTGTATTCAGTGGTCTTGGTGCGTTCTGCTCTTTGACCTTGCTACCAGCATCAGCATCCATCCTGCTACCACCACTTTAACGGTCCGCACTAAAGCAAGTTTGTTCTTCACACAGACAGACAACCATCACGAAACAGTTTGTGGTATTGAGCAAGATCTTCGCAAGGCTCTATTGCCAAGCCATGAGCCAAGGCTGAGATTTCATAGGCGTGACGCAAGTATGAAAGAAACTCAGCCGCGAAGGGTGATATTTGCCACCCTACAGCCGACCGAGACGGTGATTAAGTCGCATGATCGGCCGGTGTGGAACCCTTTCAGCGGCAACGGACCTTTTGATGCATATGAGAGGTCAAATGTTAACGGCTCGTTGAGTTGAATGGCAAGTGATGGAAGATTTGATGCAATAATTGAGCGGGTGAAGTGTAATTAGAGTCATCGGTCTGGCATGCGCCTCACGAGGTTGACCACCATCGGATCGCCCTACGCTAAGGAGAATTATTTAAACAGGGCGAGGTCTCTAACAAGGGGTCTGGGAATAGAAAACTTTCGGAACACGCAATTCACTTGAATCAAGTCCACAAATAATTAAAAATAACAACACGACAAACAATACGGATAACGATGCCGGGAGAACTCGTGTACCACGACGGCCACTATCACCGGACTTCGGCAGACCGGCCGGAACAACGGCATAACCAGAAACGCCCTCAACATGGATTGCTACAAAAGACTCACGATGCCTGGGGTCGAGTCCTTTATGGCGTTGGTAGCGTCTATTACAAGATTCGAGGACAGTGAAGGATGGAAGATGATGACGACGCATATACGAGAGAGGAATGGAATCGATGATCCAAAAGAATAACTGCAACTCGACCCGCCATCGACAGAACCGTACTCCACTGTTGATGTCCCGTCTTTCCATCACCAACGCGATCAAGCTTCGAGTTGTCGTCGTCTGAACCACTATATATGATGATGATAGACAGGTCCCAGCGCTGATCAAGGAGAAATAACAAAGAACCCGACCAAAAATATCACAGTCAAGCTCATGCCAGAACGCAAGCTGGGTCAGGGATGGATATTATGGGCTCCATAGATGTGCACAGGCGTCTATGCTCTGCTTTGCATTGGTTTCAGAGTACGATAGGTGGAGGGACCAACCAGGAAACAGGAGTGAGAGATACAGTGTCCCTGATAGGAATGACACGCGCCACTGAAAGGATTGACGAACCCTTTGAGACAAAGATACCAACCGGGCCGAGCGTACACATCCCGGAAGGGAAATCGAAATCAACGCAACACGAACACACGTAAGCTCTTTGTTCGACCCGATGCACCCAATTCACCCGCCGCTGTTGTCAGTCAACTTCCGAAAATTGTGAGCCAAGACGACAAGACATAGGCATTTAATATCATGATATTGCATTTCCGTATTCATCATGCCAAGTGAACGCGGTCAAGTCGTAGACAATGAGTCCCACCGCAAGCGACTCGAGACAATTTCCCAAGTGTCATTCAATGTCGTATACATGCTCAAGGCGAGATGCAGAATCAATGGCGGCTCAGACCAAACCCAGGTGAGACCCCTGATGTTTTGTCGTAGAACGGATATTCGGTGGAGATTATCCCCTATTCTGTACAGTGCAATCTCGTGACGCACTAACAAACCATGCACCAGGCGTGGCCAAGCTTTTGCTAAGGCGAGATAGAGCTACGGTGTGCATTGACTCCAAGCACTATACCACCGTCAACAAGATGAGATCCCTCTGCAGCAACCCCTGATTGGCCACGGATGGCGCCGGACAAGACCAAAACAAGCTTCAATCTCTGAACTGCGCCTCGCAATCGACAGGGGTTCTTTGTCCCGTGGTTGGTTCATTCGTCAATCCTCGAGGGGATCTGCTTGTTTTCGGGGACCGACCTCTTCACCGTAGCAGGCACAGTGCCGCTCTTCCACTACAACACAGCCGCTGCCAACCCCTTGCCAGTACAATTAGCGGCTTGGGCAACTGAAGCTCAGGGGGGGAGGGGGCCCGGGGGCCACTCCAGAAGCCCAGGGATGGTCCCGTAGCTAGACTGCTTTAGTGTCACTGCTAGCCACCCCATGCATTCCATTTTCCATTTACTTTTCAAATCGCCCCATCCCTCGAATTCCATCTTCCTTCTCTCCTCCTTCATCAAACCTTCGCTAACCTTTAATTCTTCAACGCCGTTTTTTCTTATCGGTTCTCGTTACTTTGAGGCCGATTTTTAACTTTTCCCGACACTCATTTACAAACGCTCTTGCTACTCGATCCGATTGCCTCTCTTCGGGCTCACTCGTCGCGAACTCAGGAAAAAGGGGTTTCAGCATTCCAACAACACTTTAGGCGCTGAATAAAACCATCGCCTCATTCTAGTCATTCATTACTCTCTGTTCTTTTTACTTGCCGTTTGATACACAACACAATGAAGTTTTCCGCTGCCATTGTCGCCGCGGCGGCCACGGCTGCCAGCGCCAAGCTGGAGCCCATCACCATGAAGGTATGCGCCAGACGTCAGGGTATCGCGATTCTATATTGACAATTCCCAGGGATCCAAGCTCTTCTACTCGAACGGAACCCAGTTCTTCATGAAGGGTGTTGCTTACCAACAGGATACTGCCGCCGCTGGTCAGACCAACACTAAGGAGACCAAGTACATTGATCCTCTCGCCGATGAGGCTGCTTGCAAGCGTGATATCCCTCTCCTCAAGCAGCTCGGTACCAACATCATCCGAACCTACGCCATCAACCCCAAGGCCGACCACAAGGCCTGCATGAAGCTGCTCGACGATGCTGGAATTTACGTCATCTCTGATCTCTCAGAGCCCAGCGTCTCGATCAACCGTGATGACCCCAAGTGGGATGTTGAGCTGTATGAGCGCTACATCGGAG